GTGTGTGTGTGTGTGTATATATATATATATATATATATATATATATATATGTGTGTTTATATATCTGTGTGTGTGTGTATATATATATATATGTAGGCAATATTTAAAAATGCTTCAAGAAATAATTGATGATGCTCATTGATTTAAATATTGATTCAAAAATAAAATACACCCCAGGCGGTGGATATGAAACTGTAATAAGGTCAAGATCATAATCCAATGCGATTTTTAAGGTTTTCAGAAGGCAAACAAGGTCTTTTGCTCTACAAACACCCGTGTGGATAATGCAAACTTTGTAGCGGCGATGTTTATTTTAGAAAGCATATGCTTATAATGGCCAATTAACGACAGACGGCCAGACACTTTGTTTGTTTGGCGTCTGTCGGAGCTTGTTTTTTTGCTGATTAAACGTGCTCGTCTAGTTAGGGAATGATGTATGCATTTTAATAATTCATCAGCAGCTGTAGGTACAAATTGAATCGGCCTTAAAGGAGTAGTTCACTCGAATATGTTTGTTTGCTTAAATCTTCATAAGTTTCTTCTGTTGAACACCAAAGCAGACCTTTTGATGAAAGCTGTAACCACTGATTTTTTTTTTTAAATCCTAGACTGCTGGTATCCAGTATGTACAAGTATAGTTTCAAGTGTTCAAGATGAAGAAATTCGGGACATCGAATTCAATATTCGAAAATTCGAAAACAGAAATTGAGCATTAAAACTAGGTCAGGGCAAGACTTTGTTTCATACCATTGTAAAAATACATTGAAAACAATCGCCAGCAGATTAGTCTTGTTTTTGGTGTCGTGGTTTGTTGACAGATGCTAGTAAAAGAGCTCATCTTTGACTGCTGGATGTCCATCTGTGCAGGCATTGCCTCGATGACCGTCCCGGTGTACATTGCTGAAACATCGCCGCCGCATCTGAGAGGACGCCTGGTCACCATCAACACTCTGTTCATCACAGCGGGACAGTTCACAGCCAGCGTTATTGACGGAGCCTTCAGCTACATGAAGCACGAAGGCTGGAGGTATGAGTATGAGTCGGGGATTGGGGGTCGAATGTAAAACAATACCTAGGCTCATTGGGAATATGTGGCCAGGACTACATCTCAGAGAAATATGTACCCTTGACTTTGTTTTCAGGGAGTTTTTGTTTTTACAGATTCACTAGAGGGCGACAATCTTAAAAACGTTACTGGGGGCACGCTTTTTCATACATGCCATTTTTTGTAAATCCACTAGAGGGCGCTGTGGGCATTTCTGCCAATCCAAACGTCATTCTGCCGCATGTCCGTGAGAGACGCCAGTCAGCTTGTTGTTGTGCATAATTTATCAATTTGATATCGACAGACCCACACACCCTCTTCATTAAACCCAACCGATAGTGTTGTCAACAGCGTGATCTCACGAGGAAACGTAAGTATTTTACGTTTTGTCAGTTTAGTGGCTAATTCGTACGAGTTTAGTCGTATGAAAATGCATGGTTTTATAAACCACCCCTAACCCCTAACTGTCATTGGGTGATGAGCAAATCGAAGTAAATTGTACGAATTAGATCCAACGAATTCATACGAATTAGCCACTAAATCAAAAAGTTATGAATTGTCGTGAGATTACGTTGGTTTTCAAAAGCAAACTAGAAGAGAAAAGCCAACGCGGCCGTGGGTTTTTACCTGGTTTCTGGAGTCGTCCTTCGCTGAACGCGAACCCTGGTTCACTCCGCTAGGTGTCCCAAGTCTGGTGCCATTCGAGGCAAGCTACCGAGCAAATCAGTTGTTTTGGAAAAGCCGTCCACACGGTTAGCGTTAAGTGGTGAAAGGTATTGCCCCGTAGCATTTGTTTTACACACAATATTCAACCATTATGTACCCCACTGCACATCGTTCTCAATTCCAGGGGCGATTGGAGGATTGTTATTTTAGGGGGGCTCGGGTTTAAAGCGATTGCGGAGTAAAGTGCGAACCGGTGGTGATCGCGATCTAAATTGAAAAACGGGTGGGTGGGGGTTAACGGACTAAAGTTAGTACCGAGGAAGTGGGGCAGATGATCGCGGATCTAAGAGAGGACTGGGGATGGGGGGTTATTGGGGGTTGGAGGGGTAGAAAGTTTTTTGGGGGACTGAGTAGAAATAGGGACGGGCTACAGCTTCCCTAAAATAGGGCTAGCAACGCCCATGCTCGGTTCTCAGAAATGTATCCCGGGGCACATTTTCCTAATGAGCCTGTGTTGAATACAAGACTGTGTCCAAAATTGTCTACTACTTGAGTAGGAACTACATCTGAATTTTAATTTATTACATGACCTTTAGGCTGCACGGTGGCGCAGTAAGTAGCACGTTCACCTCACAGCAAGAAGGTTGCTGGTTCGAGCCTCGGCTGGGTCAGTTGGCGTTTGTGTGCAGTTTGCATGTTTCACATGACCGACCCATGTCTGTTGTGTCGCTTCACTCCAATTTACCAATTCTCTTCAATCTCGCCAGAAGTAGTAGGTCATCTGGGTACTTCTCGCATAATGTTGTACGAATACTATGAATTCAGACATTACTACTCGGCTAGCATACTTTTTTTAATGTACGATACAGTAGGGAAGCATGTGATTTCGGATGCAGCCCTAGGGCCCTATCATACACCTGGCGCAATAAGGCGTAAGACGTGTTTGCGCCAAGGTGTTGCTATTTTCAGACCAACGCAACCTTAATTTTCCCGTTTTCCGCCACGTTGTAAATAGCAAATCCCTTTGCGCCACTTTGTGGATTCATGGGTGTGCTGGTCTGTAAAGGAGGTGTGTAAAGGCGCATTGATATTTTGAGGAACTAAAATAGACTGCGTAGTGCAAGCTCTCATTAGTAGCGGGTGACGAGTGTGGGCGGGGCTGAGAGCTGCGAGCCCGATGGAGTGATTGTTTACAAGTGTGGAGTCCCGTGAATAAGCTCCAGATGGAAACTGTTGTTTTGTGTTTACATTATGATTAAAGTCGTTGCACGTCCACTGGTTCCCGCCTGTGTAAAGCGAGTGTAACGGAGGCCAGCTAGTGTGTACTGTGCAGGTAAGCCTCACTCCTCTGACCTTTAAAGGTGCTCTAGCGACAGACGCTAGAGGCCATGGTCTTTAGCCTCCTTGGTAGAGCACCCGACTTCCATGCGGAAGGTCGCCAGTTCGATTCCAACTCGGAGTGGGTTGGGCGACGTAGGACCAGCGGGGTTACATTGGTGCCGTGACCCGGATGGGAGTGAGGTTTAGGGGGGTGAGTGTAACGGAGGCCAGCTAGTGTGTACTGTGCAGGTAAGCCTCACTCCTCTGACCTCAAAAGGTGCTCTAGCGACAGACGCTAGAGGCCATGGTCTTTAGCCTCCTTGGTAGAGCACCCGACTCACATGCGGAAGGTCGCCGGTTCGATATCAACTCGGAGCGAGTTGGGTGGCGTAGGACCGGCGGGGTTACAAGAGTTTGAGCTTCTTGTAAATTAAGGTAGCGTTCAGAAAAAATGAACCACCAGTAAAGAAACTCGACACAGCAGAATATTAAAATCTACTGCCAGCTAGTGTTTCAGAAGTGCTACTGCGGAGCAACACAAACAGCGCACAGAAATATAAATGCATGACTATGCGCCAGGCAGGCACCATGGGTCAAGCCGATCACTCGACGCAGACCTGTACACATTTAGGTACAATTGTCCTTGAGGTCAGTTTTGACCAGCCAACTATAAAACTATTTTGTAAACCACAAAAACTGTGTGATGTGAATATTAACTTTGCCAAAAATGTATAATAATCATGTTGTGCTTAATGATAACGTATTTTTTATATTCTCTGAGGTCCACTAAATTAATTTATCATCACTTGTACTTAAAAAACCCATCCTAGTTTAGAAAAAAAGTAGGCTGTTTCTGTCCTGTTTTGATCCCCTCATCAGAACTCAATGTTTGAATAGATGTGGCAGATTGCAGTAAACGCCTACCATTGTGATTGTTTTGTTCTTTTAAAACGTTTGAAGGAACAGCTGTGAACACCACTGTAAACGTCTAAAGAGAAAATAATTCAATAATGACTTTATTCTCTTCTTAACTCTTCTTTAAAATGAATGACTGGATTTTCATTTTTGGCTGAACGATCCTTTAACTCTTCGGATTATGTTTAATCTAAAAAAAGAGGCCACCTACATAGAGATACCATCCTATATCCTGTACCATTACGATTGTTTTCTGTTCACAGTCTCAAAATAAACTGAGCCAAATAGAACTCCAAAATATCCGATTAACGTTTGTTTTCTCATCTGTGCAGGTACATGTTGGGTCTGTCGGTGATCCCGGCGCTGCTGCAGTTCCTAGGGTTCCTCTTCCTACCAGAAAGCCCCCGTTGGCTCATTCAGAAAGGCTTGACCCAGAAGGCCCGGCGTGTGCTCAGCCAAATCCGTGGCAACCAGAACATCGACGAGGAGTATGATACTATCAAAAGCAGCATTGAAGAGGAGGAAAAGGACTGCGGAGGAGGTGAGAAAAAGGTCTTGCACGTGTTCACGCATGCAAGTAGCTCAAAGAAACACAAATGCCGTCTCGGTACATTGGCTTCATTCAATTATGGAAAGTACTCAAGCGCAAAAGAGAATCAGGGAACCTAAGTAGTGCACACGTTTACAGGGATTTGAGGCACATTGGAATCATTTGTGTGACTTGGACTTACCCATTGGAACTTGGAGCTGTTAAGTTGACTTACCTTTAAAAAACTGTTGCCTTAAAATGATCAAGTCAGGGAATTATTTGCAGAATTATGAAATTAGTTAAGTCAACTTATCATTTTAAAACCAAGGAGTTTACACACTTTTTCAAGCAAAGTAAACAAATCACTTTTTTACCTTGTGGGAATCAGAGAAGTGAGGCGACATAGGTGTAAGACGCCTCTTACGCCTGATTTACAAGGGGCTTCAGCGTCAACGCTTGACAGAGGGCGTGTCTGAAGTTAGGGCTGACGCGATTGTCATAGCAGCGCCAGCCAATGAAATTAGTCAGCAATCGGCTACTGTCTGAGCTGGTGCATTTGCATACAGCGATCTGATTGGCTGACGCTTCCGTCGGCGCTTGAAAAGTTGAGAAAGTCCCAACTTCTGCAGCGAGCAACGCCTCTGAAGCGGCGCTGACAGATCCGCAATGCAATTCGGCAACGCCTGACGTCACACCATTCAAAGTGAATGCGAAGCGTTGACGCCCCGTGTGAATGGAGCGTTCCATATGCTGCAAAGTTGGTTATAAAGTATTCTTGTAAATAATAATTATTATTATTAATAATTATCTACATGAGAGCAGGAAAGCAGACCTCCGGAGTTGGATTCATAGTCAACTTGTAAGAGAAAAGTAGTGTAACGGTGGACAGCTAGGGAAGTGATATGCAGGTAAACCTCACTCCTCTGACCTCAAAAGGTTCTCTAGCGAATGATGTGGGGGTTCGTCTGGGATGGGAGTAAGGTCTAAGATGGTAAGTGTAACAGAGGTCAGCTAGGGAAGTGCTATGCAGGTAAACCTCACTCCTCTGACCTTTAAAGGTGCTCTAGCGACAGATACTAGAGGTCATGGTCTTTAGCCTACTTGTTAAAGTAACCTATTCCCATACAAAGAATCGCCGGTATAATCCCAGCTCAGTGCGGGCTGGGTGCAGTAGGACTTTTGGGTTACACGAGGGGGCTCGTCCAGGATGGGAGTGAGGTTTAGGGTAGTGAGTGTAACAGAAGCCAGCTAGTGATGTGCTATGCAGGTGAACGTCACTACTCTGACCTCTAAAGGTGCTCTAGCGACTGATGTGGGGGCTCGTCTGGGATGGGAGTAAGGTCTAAGATGGTAAGTGTAACAGAGGTCAGCTAGGGAAGTGCTATGCAGGTAAACCTCACTCCTCTGACCTTTAAAGGTGCTCTAGTGACAGATGCTTGAGGCCATGGTTGTTAGCCTGCTTGTTAAAATAACCGACTCCCATATAAAGACTCGCCGGTTCAATCCCAGCTCAGTGCGGGAGGGGTGCTGTAGGACCGGTGGATTACATGTGGGGGCTCGTCCGGGATGGGAGTAAGGTTTAAAGGCATTAGTGTAACAAAGACCAGCTAGTGAAATGCTGTGCAGGTAAACCTCTCTCCTCTGACCTCTAAAGGTGCTCTAGCGACAGACACTAGAGGGCATGGTGTTTAGCCTTCATGTTAGAGCAACCGACTCCCATGCAAAGAATCACCCATTCAATCCCTGTTCAGCATGGGGTGCAGTAGGACTGGTGGTACACATGGGGGCTCGTCCGGGATTGGAGTAAGGTTTAGTGGGTGAGTGTAATGGAAGCCAGCTTGTGAAGTACTATGCAGGTAAACCTCACTCCTCTGACCTCTAAAGGTGCTCTAGCGACAGACGCTAGAGGCCATGGTCTTTTAGCCTCCTTGTTAGAGCAACTTCCATGCAAAGAACCACACTGTCCCACGGTAAACCCACCCCTACCCACAGTGGGCCCCACACTGGCATGTTTGCTGGGATAAGACTTATTAGTTAATACTTTTACCCCTTTGTAGAGAATATTTCCAACACAATCGGGATGTTCCATGTGCACTGGTGAAAAGAAACTGAACATCAAGAAGTGAAAACAACAGAAACAACCCTGCTGAAAAATCCAGCTTAAAGCAGCCTAGGCTGGTTTAAGCTGGATTTTTCAGCAGAGAAAAGCAAGAACATGAATTAAATGAATCTAGTTCCACAAAGAAAGTTTCCAAAGTGCACATGCAATGTCAAGAGGGACAAGAGGATCTCGGAGAGTGGATTGGTTCTGTCCTTAATTACCTCAGATTCCGAGGTCTCTAACTACTTCCTGAAGAGGTCTTTATACGTCCCACTTTCCTCTCGAGAGCTGAAAGTGAACAAGCCTCTTAGAGTTTTCATCCAGAACAACTTGCCGCGGTACTTAAAAGAAAACACACCATGTTTTACATTCACACAGGGTGGAAACTAAAGTCTAATACCGTAAAGCGCATGCACGGCACACCGGTAATAAGAGGCAGACGTGGTCACAGGTGTTCATGAAGCGAAACTCATCTGAGTCAGCTTATAATAGTCAAGTGCAATGAAAGGCAGCATTACCGTCAATTCAGCAGCACAGCGGGGTGATAATGACTACTGAAACGCGTGTGTACTTGAGCAGCATGTTTCATCCGAGCAAATCTAATTCGGCCGTAGGTGGGGGCGATTATCAACCATGGGAAGTCATCCACCCCCTGAGCAGACCTTATACAACCTCTTTTACCAACCAATCACACGTCACTCAAGGTCTCCCTCGGCTTTTAGCCATCCCGTTTACATTTATTCATTTAGCAGACGCTGTTATCCGAAGCGACTTACAAATGAGGACGAACGATCCGCTTCTGGAATAGTTGGCGGTTCATTCCACTGTGCCGATCCCTGACAAATCAGGGAGTAAGCCGAATAGAATGGATGAGTTATGATTCTTCTTTAGTGAACTGCTTGTGCAGCAGAGCCTCAACCCGAAGACCTTAAATGCATCACGGTCAGTCCACCTCTGACAGAAGCATGCCCATTTTCTGGTCCTGCAGCTGGGGTCTTGACAATGTCATGCTCTCGCCTCTGAAATGTGTAAGGTCAGCGTTCGGGGATATTAAATTGCGAGACTGAGATGCCAGTGGGTGATTGCAGGAGCTGCAGGGCGGGGATTGCTGTGGTTCTTCTTGGAATAGGAACGAAATCAAAATGTACGGCTCATCTGAATCAGTGAGTTGTTGATTCAGATTCAGTCAGATATCAAGTTCAAAATTGAATCGTTCAGTGTGACTTATGAACTGATTTGATGGATTATAGACAAGATTCAGCTTGTTCGAATCATTTGAGTCAGTTGTCTGAGTTGTTGACTCAGATTCAATCAGATTGTTCAGTGTAACTTGTGAATGATTCAATAGATTATTTGACAAGATTCAGCTTGTGCACGAATCAATAGTATAAAAATAGACCACCTAATGTACTATATGAGTATGAATATAATAGTATTTTTCATTTAGCACCATCAGTTGTGGGATCTTACTCATAGAGGATCTGCTGTTTTGACTCATTTTGAATCATTTTGTAAATTCAGTGAGTCGTTTAATGAAGACTCGCTCAGAATGAATCATTTGAATCAGTGAGTTGTTGATTCAGATGGAATCAGATATCAAATTCAATACTGAATCGTTCAGTGTGACTTATGAACTGATTTGATGGATTATTTGGCAAGATTCAGTTTGTTTATGAATCAGTCATTTAGTATCATTTTGCAAATTAAGTGAGTTCAAACGATTCAACGATTCAAAATTGAATCGTTCAGTGTGACTTATAAACTGATTTGAAGGATTATAGACAAGATTACGCTTGTTCAAATCATTTGAGTCAGTTGTCTGAGTTGTTGACTCAGATTCAATCAGATAGTTCAGTATATCTTGTGAACGATTCAATAGATTATTTGACAAGATTCAGCTTGTTCACGAATCAATAGTATAAAAAATAGACCACCTACTGTACTATATGAATAAAATAGTATTTTTCATTTAGCACCATCAGTTGTGGGATCTAACTCATAGAGGATCTACTGTTTTGACTCATTTTGAATCATTTTGTAAATTCAGTGAGTCGTTTAATGAAGACTCTCTCTGAATGAATCATTTGAATAAGTGAGCTGTTGATTCAGATGCAGTCAGATATCAAATTTAAAGTTGATTCGTCCAGACATTTGAACCAATTTCATAATTATTTGTCAAGATTCAGCTTGTTCACGAATCAATCGTATAAAAAATAGACCACCTTCTGTACTATATGAGTATGACTATGAATAAGATAGTAATTTACATTTAGCACCATCAGTCACAGGCACTTACACTTATGGGATCAACTGTTTTGACTCATTTTGAATCATTTTGTAAATTCAGTGAGTCGTTTAATGAAGACCCGCTCTCAATGAATCATTTGAATCAGTGAGTTGTTGATTCAGATGCTGTCAGATATCAAAGTCAAAACTGAATCATTCAGTGTGACTTGTGAACTGATTTGAATATGAATATTATAGTTATTGACATTTAGCACCATTGGTGGCAGATACCTACGCTCTGAGGATCTCCTGTTTATGAATCATTTTGAATGAATTTTAAATCCTGCTAGTCGTTTAATGAAGACTCGCTTTGAACGAATCATGTGAATCAGTGAGTTGTTGATTCAGATGCAGTCAGATATCAAAGTCAAGACTGAATCATTCAGTGTGACTTGTGAACTGATTTGAATATGAATATGATAGTTATTGACATTTAGCACCATTGGTGGCAGATACCTACGCTCGGAGGATCTCCTGTTTATGAATCATTTTGAATACATTTTAAATCCTGCGAGTCGTTTAATGAAGACGCGCTCTGAATGAATCATGTGAATCAGTGAGTTGTTGATCCGGATGCATTCAGAAATCAAATTCGAGATTGAATCGTTTGGTGTGACTTGTGAACTGATTTAATGGATTATTTGACAAGATTCAGCTCGTTCATGAATCAATAGTGTGAAAGCAAAAGGATCATCTAATCTACTATACAAATATGATTATAAGTATGAATATTATAGTAATTTACACTTAAAACCATCAGTTGTGGGCACTTAAGCTTAGTAGATCTGCTGTTTTGAATCATTTTGTAAATTCAGTGAGTCGTTTAATAAAGACTCGCCCTGAATGAATCATTTGAATCAGTGAGTTGTTGAATCAGATATCAAATTCAAAGTTGAATCGTTTAGTGTGACTTTAGAACCAATTTCATACATTATTTGACAAGATTCAGTTTGTTTATGAATCAATAGTATAAGTAAAATACCACCTACTCCACTATATGAATATAAATATTATA